TATACTCTATTGATTTTACTCGATAATTATTTATCTCCGCGTATAACGCGGGTAATTACTTAGTATTAAATTGTTTGATATAAAAATATATTTAAAATTTATGATTTTATCTTTTCTAGCATATCATATTTGTGTTGAAAAATATTAGTAAATTTGTTAATTTATACTTTACAAAAAAATTGTTTAGTATCTTATTTTACTATTATTTTTGGATCTCAATATGCGCGGACATCCTACTTTTTGGTCGGATATCCGGAAACCAAAGATCTAAATCTGGCGGATCAGGATTCGTATCCATATACCTTAAAATTCAAAGATATCCAAAACCGTCCCAACTATCCTGAATTTGGATCAAAATTCGGATACCTTAAAATTCAAAGATATTTGGATCCGTTTAACCCGTATATTTTTTTTTTAAACAACAACCCCTGTTGTCTATTAGGTATCTTAATTTGGCAACAAAAAAGGTGCAAAATTGCTTTAGTTCCCTTGAAAAAATTATCGATTTGACCGACAATTGAGATAAATATAGTGATCTTTTATACCTAGATAGTGTAATGGCCGTCTCATTCGACAAAAGGCACAAATGTTAGTTTTGGTGGTGTTGTAGTTTGTGCTTGAGGCTCGTCGGTTATGCTTCTTTTGGCTAGTAAATCTTGTAGTTCGGCTTGGTCTTTGTCAAGCCTCCCTATTCTTTTTCACATGTGTTTAGGCTGAATTTTCGGCTGAGTCTTGTTTTTTTACCTAATTATTGGTTGTCAGAGTGGGGATTTTCTGAACTTTGAAATTTTATATTTATGTTTACGTTTCCCTTTTGTGGATATTATCTCTAGGAAATTTGTGTTTGTCCGCCGACTTAGTTTCTGGATTAATTTCGGCTTTGTATTATACTCTCGGTATGTTACTTGGTTTAATATAACAAAAAAAAACCTAGATAGTGTAATGACTAAAAAAAAACCTTAATTATTCCATTTTAGCTTGTATTTTTTGTGAAAAGAAAAATACTCAGAATCCCTTTTTTGGGCTTAGAACCTTTTGTGACTACTAGAGGCTTAGCTTTTTGAAGATTTCGAGAGTTTGGATAATATCTCTTTGGTTTTATTTCAGATCTGCGCTACTATTCATCGAATTTAGGGTTTRTGGGTTGGTGTTCTTCAATCTCAAATTTCAGGTGGTGAGATATCGAATCGYGAAAGGTGTTGTTAGGTGCGGTGACTGATTCTGGTGCTAGGAAAGGAGCCGTCGTGCTTTGTGTGTGTGTGTAG